GGATGTTGCCATGGGCGGGCTGGGCAAAGGCGGGAGACCTGTTCTGTGACCCGCTTGCCTGCCCCCCCCCCTCTCTTGCCCCTCACACCCCCACACTTGCATTACCTTCCGAGTACCTGTTTTCTAACAGTTCTTAGATGTCAATTCCTTGTGGTGCGTTTCTTTTGTCTGGAGGGGTACTTGGACCGAAGCGAGGGCGGCGAAATTTCCGATTTTTGGGGAGTAGCTTGTAAATATTGCCATTCATTTTGTTAATAGGGTGAATGTTTTAGAAAATTTTAGGCTACTTCTCCTATGAATCCGTTCATGGGAAAAACTCGTTTTCTGAAGGCATAAGTTCAGTGATTTTAGATTCAACGCAGTTGGTGTGTACAGTCGCTACATCACATGCAATGCTCTCTCTTACCAGCTTTCCAAAAGTGAGGCAGCCCAGAGACCCTAGTGCTTTTCTTCCAGCTGTGAGCATCTGTTATATGTATATGTATATTTATATGTATAAAGTTATATGTTTATATATAGATATATGTATATGCATATTTATATGTATATAGTTATATGGTTATATTTATAGTTATATGTATACACACACATATGTGTGTGTATGATAGATATAGATGTAGTTATATCCCACATAAGCAAACTTTGCGAAGAAACTTTTGTTTCAAATTTGTGTCGCATAAGCGGTGACACAGAAAGGAGGATTGAATGGCAATTAAGAGAAAGTCTAAAGCCACGTCTTTCTACTTTTCATTGGACGCTTGGTTCACAGCACACAGGCAGATGAATGTGTGTGTGTGTGTGTGTGTGTGTGTGTACGTGTGCGTGCGTCTGTGTATGTACGTGTACACGTGCGTGTGTGTATGTCCGTACGTGTGCGCGTGCGTGCCTGTGTGTGTGCCTACGTATGCGCGTGCGTTCGGTTGTGTGCGTGCGTATTTGTATTTGTATTTAGGATCATTGTTGTTAAGATGGCCCTATGTAATGCAAGTCAGATTTATCCAAATGGCTCGTGCCCCTTCCTTGCAGTGCGCGTGTGCGTGACAGGAGATGCAGGCGCCGTGTGCGATTCCCTGAGAACCGACGCAGCCGATCTGGACATCACCTGTGTCCCGAGCACAGACAGGTAGGCAGCGCCACGTTTGGGCTCTGTGTTTTGTATGAAAAATGTACCTCTGTCATTTATGTTACTCTCTTGGGGTGTTTCTATGATATACAAAACAACAAACAAGCAAACACCCATGCACCCAACTACTCTCTCGCACACACGCACACACACACAAAGATGTATAAAATAATATAAGATAGCACTCAAAAAATGTACAGGGTACATCCCTTGCCAAGGGAAAGCCCAGAGACTCCAGCATCGTGAGCATCTGCTTACGAAGGCAACAGAAAACGGGGAAAACAGACACCCTTGGCTTTCCTCATTTTCTCGTGGCGTGGAACAAGCAGCTCTTCATTCGGCAGGTATGAGTGCCTGCGACGAGTGGCGGAGAAGGAGGCGGACGTGATGCGAGCCGACGCCGAGGACGTGTACCTCGCCAGGGAACTGTACGACACACAGGTACACGTCATCGCGGAAACGAGGACCATCGAAGAGCAAAATGGTGAGCAGAATGTAGAATATTGGGATAGTTATGGACCTTTTTAGACTGAGGTATCTTTATGATTTTCCAAATTGTTTGATTTGTTAGAATTGAGAAAACCCTGCACATAGCGTTTTAATGGATTGGTTGAAGGCATTGGTGTGCTGAGGGTCAGAAAGCGATGAAGGGTAATGCGATATCAAAGCGTTGACGCAGTTTGGTTTGAAAACAGTTGTAAAACCTTGCAAAAGAGCCAATAAAAGAGACTGTAAAGAAGGGAAACACGTTATAGATATCACGAGAGAGGGAATACATGGCTGGTTTAGATTACGTTAGATTACTTGAGAGCTCAATGTCAAATAAACTAAAAAGAAATCATCCGTGCGCATTGCAGAACCAGGTCGATATGATGGCGTGGCCTTAGTGAGACGGTCAACAATCAAGTCCCTGGAGGACCTGAAGGGATCCAAGTCCTGCCACACTGGCTACGGAAGGACGGCTGGCTGGAGCATCCCCTTTTCGCACGTAAGTAACCGTCAGCAAAACTAATAAGAATAATCGGTTTCTTGAATCTCATGCAGTCAGGGGCTGAAAATATACTTATAACTACAGATAAAGAGACAAAGTATATATGCATAAACATACATAAACAACAAAATAAACTAACAATCTATAGGAAAAATAACAGCAAAAGTAGCAAGAGAAACAAAAGACAAGTGCAAGTTCAGGTAAGCTAGGAGTGCTGGACTAGTAATAGTGGAAGAGGTGTGGTGGGCGGTCCATTGACTAGTGCTCGTTGATGAATCGGACTAGAGTAGGTATTGTACACCGGCGGTAGCTGTCAGTACGGGCCCTGATGGTGGCGCGTAGGGCCCGGCGAGGCGACGGCGCGTGGATGGCACAGCAGCTTCAGGCCAAACTGCTGCAGCGAGGTGGTGTGGTGAGTGGCGAGGGAGGTGATGCCTAGGGCAGTCAAGACGCTGCCATAGCTGGTATAGACAGGACCGAGAATAATCTTGGCTGCCCTTTTCTGTACCCTCTCGAGTAGTGGCAGCTGGGTGGCGGTGAGGGAGGGGGACCAGGCAGGGGAGGCGTAGGTCAGTCTGGGCAAGATGAATAGCCTGTAGAAGTGGGGCACCAAAGGACTTGAGGCGACGTAGCATGTGAAGCTTGTACGAGGCGGACCTCACGATGTCTCTGACGTGCTGCGTCCAGGAGAGCTTTTCGTCGACGGTGACGCCGAGCAGCTTGGTGGAACAGGCGACGTCGAGCGGATGGTTGTCTAGTGTGAGGATGGGCGCGCGGGCGGGAAATGAAAACGCTTGTTATTACTAATAGGAATAACGGAAAGTGGCCGTTGTGAATCAGTGGAAAATATATCCTATAGTTCAGTGAAAAGTCTACATCAAACCTGACCCTTCCTTCCAGCTGCTGGAATTGGGTCAGATTCAGTTGAACTGCCAGAGCGACATCACAGTCGTGGAGCATGACCTGAAGGCGGCTTCCAGCTACTTCGGCCTCGCCTGCATCCCCGGCAAATGGGTGCCGGACGATAAAACGAACGCAAAACTCAGTAAGTATGGAATGCGTCTATGTTTACAGATTTAAGGAGAAAATAAGTCTCTGAATATCATTCAACTATATGTACTTACTTAAGATGGCTGCTATTTTCATTTCAGGAAAGTAGAATGATATTCTCTTTAACGTCCTCCTTCTCTCTCTACAGAGGCTGAGTACAACAACTTATGTACAATGTGTGGCGATCCAGGCCGATGCGACGACCCGGACGTGCACGCGGGCTACGAAGGGGCTCTGCGCTGCCTGGTCGACTCGCACGGGGACGTGGCGTGGACGAAGCGGAGCGCTGTCTCCAAGTTCTTCAAGAAGAGGACTTCTGTAAGTGACATGAATTTAATAGGCGAAAGCTAGTTCATAAATGAAGTATTTTTATTTAGATACACTATTTATATGAATCTAAATGTGCCTTTAGGTAGCTCCGTCAGACTACGGCCTGCTGTGTCCCGACGGCCGAGTGCTGGACGTTAACACAACCGAACAGTGTCGCTGGGCCACCCGCCCCTGGACCTCTTGGCTCACGCGCTCTAATGCGGAGTGAGTACTTTTAGCGAAGAATTTATTTTTCCTTTTACTGATTATACTATACATGTGTTAAAATGAACGCTAATGCATCTATGAGTTGTTTTAGAGCTTACTAGGATCTTCATCCGATATACAGTACGGCTACAGATATGTACAAAATGAAATGACAATTTCTTGATGCCTGTGAAAAAATACAGAAATATACCAACTAACATACCATCCTTTCTCGCATTTCTCCAGCAACCAGAAAGATATCACAGTCGCCCTCACGAAGCTGATGGAGTCGGCCTCGCCAGCGCTGAACGAGGGGGCGACGCTGAAGCCTTGGGCCAAGTACATCCTGGGGACTGAGGTGCCTTCGGTCATTCACACGCTGTCGCCTCCTGTGACTCCTTTCAAATTCCTGAATGAAGGTAATATTTTTTTTATTTTTAAAGGTAGGGAATTCATATTCTCTTTTTTTCTGTTCTTTGGTTTTCTTTTCATTTAATAAATTTCTTTTTGCCTCCGTATCTTAATTATTCTGTATCTTCATTATTCGTTTCCCGTAATCATCTCTCCCTTCCTTCCTTCTTAACTAACTCCTCCCACCCTCCCTCCCTCTCCCCCTCTCCCCCTCTCACAGTTATACTCTGGCTATACATCACTACTAACGTGCAGTCACATGATAGCATTGCCTGGACCAGAGGATGGACTCGGATCACATTACCTTTCTCTCCCTAAAGCTGGGTACGACACGACCATCGATCGCCTGGGCTGCCCCGAGAAGCCCGTGCGACTGTGCGTGGATTCCCGCATGGGCCGGGACAAATGCCTGGCCCTCCAGCAGGTGCTAAAGTCCCGTCGCATCCGCCCCACCTTGGAGTGCGTCGTCCCGACGTCCCCCGACGACTGCCTCGCCATGGTGGCAGCCGGGAACGCTGACATCACCACTGTGGATGGAGGAGACGCATTCCGTGGTCACACGTGAGTACGCGATCGCCGCCTGTTTGAGTCTTCCTCACTGTATTTATTTTTATTTTATTTTCATGTTAAGCAAGAAAACTTATATGAAACGATGTACATCATGTCAATTTTGTTTTCTTTGAAGGAATCTCTCGATTTCTAACCTCAACTTATGTCTCTGCACAGTGAATATGGCATCTATCCGGTGGTAGCAGAGAAGTATGGGCTCCTGGATGCATCCTACTTTGCTGTGGCTGTGGTGAAAGCCAACTCTGGCATCACTTCCATAAGCCAACTCCAGGGCAAAAAATCCTGCCATACTGGTATTGACAAGACAGCAGGTAAGATATATACATGATATATGACTGGCTCTAAAATTGGCTTATCAGTTATTATTGATTAGTGCTTGTCCTACTCATCGCACATAAAGAGTAAATAATATTCTCCAGAAAAATGTATTGTGTGGCTTTCCAGACCTCTCAGAATGATGGTTGAAATCCACTTGTCCGTCTGACGGAGACTTGGGGCTTCGCGTTGTTCGCTGTAGGTCATCCAGAGACGTTCCTTGCTAGCTTTAATCCCACGTCATCTCTAAACAGGCTGGAAGATTCCTGTTGTGACGCTTCTGGAAGCGGGGCTCATCCAGGCGGGTAACTGTGACTTCGCGGAAGAAGTCGGCAAGTTCTTCAGCCAGTCATGCGCTCCCGGGGCCAAGGATAGTAACTACGACCCGCAGGGCACCAATCCCGACTCGCTGTGCGACCTTTGCATAGGGAACGATGGTGAGCTTCGAAAGCCTTCTGTGGAGAGTGACCTTTTTCAGTTTTGGATAATGTAAAGCGGGACCACAAAATGGATTTTCTTCCCATTTTTCAGAATTTCAAACTAGTCATTACAATACATTCACTCATTATAACCACTGCATAATCGATTTAACCTTTCTGTTATTCCATTATTTCCTTTTTTCTCGACACGATGATCACCTCTTTCCTACAGTGAAAGGCGTGAGCGGACCCACCTACGCGGGAGGGAACCCGGAGGACAAGTGCAAGCGGTCCCACAGCGAGGCCTTCTACGGGTACACGGGGGCGTTCCGGTGCCTCGTTCAGGGTGGAGGCGACGTGGCCTTCGTCAAGCATACCACTGTCGCCGAGAATACCAGTGAGTTGCCTCTGCCATGCAGGGCGGTAGGAGGCGGTGCTTAATCTTGACTCGCGGTGCTCTTTGGCTGCTCTGTATCATCTTTATAGGCAGTGAAGTTCTCTTGGTTTGGCTATCATCAATAGTTTTGTTGGTGTTGCCATTATGATTGCTGTTATTATTATCGTTATTATTATTATTATTATTATTATTATTAATGTTATTGTTACTGTTATTGTTGCTATGTTTGGTGTTACTGTTATAAATATTATTACTACCACAATGGTTTTCAGTTTCTTCTATATTTCTTTATGCTGCCAATTAAATGTTTGCTAACAATTTTACAACCTGCCTTAAGCTGTCATATTGAAAACATAATACAATATATATATATATATATATATATATATATATATATATATATATATATATATATATATATATATATATATATTTTTTTTTTTTTTTTTTTTTTTTTTTTTTTTTTTTATTTATTTATACATGTGTGAGTGAGTGAGTGAGTGTGTGTGTGTGTGTGTGTGTGTGTGTGTGTGTGTGTGTGTGTGTGTGTGTGTGTGTGTGTGTGTGTGTGTGTGTGTGTGTGTGTGTGTGTGTGTGTGTGTGTGTGTGTGTGGGTAGGTAGAAAAATAAATAGATATAGGTAGATAGATAAATAGATAGCTAGACAGATAGATAAGAAAAAAATCCCCAGCCTGACCACCGATCGCTTGCAGACGGCAACAGCAACGCCTCCTGGACAGAGGGCCTCCGCGCGCTGGACTACCGGCTGCTGTGCAAGAGCAACGGCGTCGCCGACGTAGCCGATTACAACACCTGCCATCTCGCACGTGTTCCCGCGCACAAGGTATACAAAGCAGTTTAGGCAAAGTCTGCTGAGTTTGTACTGTCTGCAGTCAACCTATGGATTTACCTATTTTTAGCAGTGACTGAACGATTATTTGAAATTTCTCCCCCCCCCCCGTAATGGATGTTTCCTCCCCCTACTTTTGCAGGTAGTGACGGGGATTAAGTCGAATCCTGTGATGGTGGAGGAGATTAGGATCCTCCTCCTGCGCGCCTCCGAACAGCTACCGAAGGGGCAGGATATCTTTACCATGTTTGGGCCATATCATGGGAGACCAGATGTCATCTTCAAGGTAGGCTTTAGTCAAGTGATTTTTTCTTATATTATGATTACTGATGATAAAAACAGTATGAGAGGGGGAAACAAATGTAAAAAGTTAGAATATACAGCATCTTAAGGATATTTAATTTCATTCTCCGTAGGATTCTGCCACGAAGCTGGTGAATCTGCCTGAGGATGCCTTCCACAAGTCCATAGACAACATTTACTACCGAGCCCTCAGCGAACTCAGCACCTGCAGCCCCAAAGACTCCCCGCAGACAGGACCCTACAGCCCGCAAACCCATAACGAAGCTGCTGCTGCCGCTTCGCTCCATTACCTGCTGGCTGTCACCTCTGCTGCCATAACTTGGGTTGTTGCCCGATAGCTCTTCCGATGTCTGTGATAGGTTTAGCTGCGACTCTGTAGAAAATGCTCCGCCCTTCCTTCCAGTTGACTATTTTTATATACCATTACCTTACACGAGATCTTAACAGAAATCTTAAATTTCTTTTAAACTTGTATATAACTGTTACTCCATATATGATTAACTCTTGTACAAAAAATATTGCTGTTACATCTCCTAAATAAAGAAAACACTTTAT